AGCTATTTAAACTTCTCCAGGAGTTGGTCTTCAGTGGATGCTGGTTCAATTTAGAGTAAAATTAAGATTTCTCCCCATTATACTCCAGTTTCTCCCCCACTGCGTTCCCACTGTCTCCCTTGTGTTAGAAGAGACCTTTCCCTAGGCCTGCGAAGAACATCTAGTCTTCCAGAATTTGGCCATCTAGAAAGTGAAGAAAGAGCAGGAGTGGGGATGGAGATAAAGGGTGCAAGTCTGTTTTTAAAGGGGTGCTAGACTATCTCCTGGAATCAAACCGCAAAAACGGTATAACCTGCCATGCATTCCAACAGCAGGTGTGGGGGGATCCACGCAGTCAGTTCCTCTTCTGGCTGCAATGGGGAGATCTCTCAAGACAACATATACCTACGGATTGGATTGTAGCCCAGTCTTGATCAATTTTGTAGTTGGTTTAACCCTTAGCTGTCACAGAAATCTTTCCATAGCCCACTACTTGGGTTGCACCTCAGGGTCTGCTCTGTTCCTGTGTCTTTCCTATAGAAAACCTTGCTGTCCCAAACACTCGCCCTCACATGAGACTCCCTGCCTTCTGCTGAGCTTCCACTGTGCAGAGTTCATTATGACAATTTCCAGAACACACAAAGCACCTGCCACAGAATGCACATTCAGTACTTTTATTAGCTGATACCTGAAGGAACTAACCAGGGGAAAGGAATAAAAAAAGAATGGCTGAAAAAAAAAAAAAAAGAATGGCTGGTGGGGACTGCCCAGAGCTGGAAATAACTGGGCCTCAGTGGTGGGGGGAAGGTTGAATGCCTTGACAGGAAGACTAGAAGCTGGGGAAATAGGCCAAACCCACTCCTCCAGGCTTTCCTCTGCCCATGTTGGTGTCCCCCTGAGTGCCCTGGGCACCACAGATCTGCCGGCTGGGTACACTCTTCACTAGTTTCTTTCCCAACTTATCAGCATTAATGTTTCTGTAAAGTGATAACTTCTGCAAATTTTACAGTGCCGGAACTATCTCTCAAAACTTTCGGTCTCACAGAGCAATTACTACTTACTAGTTAACCATTGTAACTCTTTTCTCTTAGAATAACTTTGTTACTTTTTATTTAATTTTTAATTGTTTTTACCTCTGTCTCCCTGCTCCCAGTATCCACTCTTCTGCTTTCAGACTAAGGACCAGCTGAAGGAAAGACTCAGTTTCGTTGTTTTTATATTTTTCTCTTTAGTAGATGAGTTTTCTAAGCAAATATACACCAGTATCTAAAGCAGTTGGGAATGTATTTAAAAAGACTGCAAAAAGAAAAGGAACCTTGCACGTGGATCCAATCATGAGATGACAAGGTCATGCCGTGGTTGCCAAATCACCTTAGATTGCGGAGAGCCTATTTGTGTATCTTGCATCTTTTATAGACAGAGACAATAGCATGGTACCTCGGTTTGGGGTTATTGGCGCCGCCTAGTGGAGAGAGGCGCCTTTGCACCTCATTCCTGTCAATTGGCCCTGCCATAGAGACTCTTCTGGGAGAGAACAGTATTTTCAAGTCCATCATAATTTGGTGGTGAATTTCATCAAAATTAAAATCCATTTTAAAAATCTGATGCTCCAATTTAAATGAATATCAAAGTTAGACGATGAAAGTGGGTGGTAGGAGATGTACCGCACACTGTTTTGTGTTTGGATTATTCTTTGAGGTGGAGAAAAAGAAATTCATTTTGTTGATTGGCATTGGTGTGTCCTGGACAACTTGGCAGGAGATAGATTCTCTGGTGTGCACAGTTAGCAAGTCAACTGCTTTCTGGGCAACAAATTAAAAACTCTCCCCAAATTCAAGAATTTTCTTAATATATAAAAAAGACAATGAAGATTTTGAAGTGGAAGGTCGTTTTTAAAATGTTAGTTTAGGAATGCTTTTCTTACATTTTAAACCCAGCGAGGGAATTCGAGGTTAAAACTCAGCGAATGCATACATACTTTCTTGACAATGACCTGAAGCTGCCCCATCTGTAACTGAATTTAGATTTCTTTAATTTTAGTTTTGTTTACTTACATATTTTGAGACAGGTCTCTCTACAGAGCCCTATTCGGAAACTCACTATGTAGATCAGGTTGGTCTAGAACTCAGAGATCTGTCTGCCACACCCCGCTGAATTTTTTTTTCTTAAAGATGAAAAGTGAGCTATTTTTGCCAGAAAAAATGCATTTTGGGTGTACTTTATATCTACTCTCTCAAGAAAATAACAGCATACAAGAAACTGTCTGGAGAGGGGAGCCACTGAGGACAGTTAAATCAGGTCCTCGCTCTGAGGGATTGCTTCCCTAAGCTTGTGGCCTGGCTTGGATTTTTGAGGGCATTTCTAACATTTTCTGGGACCTAAAATCAGGGGCTTATATTTTCTTCACCATGATTCTTTTCCGAGGACTTAGCTTATAATAGTCCAAGAAAACCTGATATTGACATTTTCTTTTAAAATATGATTGGAAACATTCACAAGACGGGGCCTATTGAATTTGCTTTGGAGATTTCGTGGAACACGCCCTTCCATGCTCCCTCCCTCCCCAGGTCGTCCTCCATTCCTCTCTCTCTCTCTCTCTCTCTCTCTCTCTCTTTCTCCAGATTCCATCCCCCCCCCCCCCCAGGATCCCCACCATCTCCCCCGCCAAAGTCGCGAATTATTCCAAGAAAAACGCCCTGCCGACCTGCCCCACACAAGCTGCGCCAACAGCCTTTGAGCTCTTGAGTCATTGTAGGCGTTGGAACAAAACAAAAACAGGCTTAAATGAATTATTTATCAAGGTCGAGAATAATTGATTTGTGCAGGGCCGTCAGTGCCGATTTTAAGTGTCTTCTCCCCTTCCCCACTCCCCTCGAGCTGACTGTGAATTGAGGCCCCAGGAGAAGGCACACTTCCTTGGGGGATGCTGTTGGGTGATGTCAGAATGGGAACCCTAATCGATACCTGACCGGGGAAGGAAGAGTAGCTTTCCTCTGCATTCTTCTGCTGCCCAGGCGCCTTTCCCGCTCTTTCTGCAGAGCCTCAGGGTGCCAAGACTGTTCACCCGGGCCCTGGAGCCTGACAGGAGTTGCTTCAGCGAGTTAAGTCCCCTAGTTTTGGACCAGAAGGCCAAGGCCTAACCTTAAATCTCCTGGGAGGGTCTGCCGGGCCAGCAACCAGTTCTCCCGCCAAATGCCTCTGTCTAGGCCTTCTGAGGCTTCAAACTAGACTGGCCTGGCGCCACCCACCGGGCCTAGCTAGCCACAGGTCTTTAGAAAGGTCCTGGGGTCCCTCAGGCCACCAGCATCTGCTCCCAGCACGTCTTGGCTTCGACTCACCAAGCCGTTTCTCTGATGAAAGTGCTCGCCTTCTGAGAAAGGAGAGACTGACTGCCTAGATGGTACACCTTGGTAGCCTCCGTTTCTTCTCAGAGCCAGAGACGAAAAATGACACCAGGATGGTACACAGCTCTACATACTCTCGAAATAACGCGGGATCCCACTCAGGATCAAAGATCTCGATGTCCCCAGGATGACCACCAACCACCTTCTCCTTTCATATCTGGGACTCATACTTCCAAACCGTGGGAAGAAATACCCCCCCACCCCGCCCTCAAGAGGGAAAGGGCGGGAGGGAGGAAGGGAGGGAGGGACGGGGGAGGGTGGAGAGAGAGAGAGAGAGAGAGAGAGAGAGAGAGAGAGAGAGAACCGCAACTAACCCCGTCACCCTGCCCTGTCCTTCACTGGCAAAATTTTACACCGAGTCACGGAAACGATGCCAACCACGCAGATCCATAAGGTTCTTAAAAATGGTAATTTGGAGTAAAATGTAACTCAAGGAACTTTGAATCATTCATTAGCACCTTATAATTACTCTGCTAATTAGGTTGACACGGCACTTAATCAGGAGTAATACGCCGTCTTGTCATTGGCGCTTCCCATTACTCTGACATTCAACAAGAGACAGGTTGGAGACGTCCTGAAGAAAAGAACGCAAGATACCCTCCGACGAGGCGGCATCATAGTCGCGCTCTGGGTCCCAAATGAATCCACAGTGACTGTTTCCTTTCCAAATAGGCGGCCTGCCACAGTGGGCATGGAAGCCCTGGAGGGAGGCGCGGGGGCGTGGGGTGCCCGGTACTCTGTGCACCCCTGTTTCCGCAGCCCCACGCAGCCCGACACCGCAGGGAACCGAGGCTGCCGTCGTCACCAGAGAACGCCTCGGGCAGGGTTTTCCCGTCTCAGGAGAAAGTGGTTGGCCAGGCATTTCTTCCAGCACAGGCTCTAATGGCAGACGAAGCGGGGTTTGAGCTTAAGACCGGATCCTCCCCGATAGGGGGTCAAGGAGGGAGGTCTGGTTCTCTCGGTCTCCAGGACCAGCTACCCGGCTGGGCCGAGCTGGAGCGCTCCGCCCTGGAGACCCGCGCTCAGAGGCAGCGGGCCCGCGCGGAGCTCCCACACTTTCCCGTGGGCTCTCCAGGCACCCCCTTACCCTGTCCCTTGTGTTTACGGACTACTCAAGCGTGCTTGGGAACCTTGCGAGCGAGAACGCGCAGCAGGTCACGGGGAACCGCGGGATCCTTTTGGCCCTGGTGGTCTCTCCACTCAACCCTCCATCCCCGCCTTCACACGGGCGCTTCTAACGAATCATTACCACGTCCCCGCTCCCCGCCCTCGGGTACCCTTTCTCCTTCGCCCCTCTTTCTTTCCCCCATCTCCCTTCGCCGATCACTCGTTACAGTGGGTACCACTTGGACCCCCTGGAGTAGGCGTCGGGCTCAGGGCTGCGGGCACACGGAGGTCCGGGTTCTCAAAAGAGCAGCGGGGTTCGAGGCGCGCTGCTGACGGGCTGGCCAGGCGCGCGCCCATTGGCTCCTGGCACGTCGGCGTCGCTTGCTGGTGCGGGAGCGGCCAATGGGGCGCGGGGCCCGGGCGGCGGGGGCGCGGGTGGGGAGCGGCGGCGGGGGCCGTGACGTCACGGGAGGGGGTCGGCGCCGCCCGCGAGCCGGCGGATGACAAGCCAACGCGCGGGGCAGCGGCGGGAGTCGCCGGGCGCCGCCTGTCCGCGGTCTCCTGCGCCCGCGCCTGCTCCTTCGATCCTTCTCCTCCTCCCGGGACGCCTGCGGCCGCGACCGCTCCGCAACTTTCCAAGAAAGTTCAGAAACTCAGCTCCGGAGCGGCCGGGTCGCTTGTGGTGGTCACCTCGGGGATCGCTAGGGCTTTGCGTTCGCTACACCTGCCTTGGCCGCCGCCGCCGCCGCCCAGGACAGGGCAGTGGGCAGACCCAGGCGGCGGCGGTGGCGGTGGCGGCGGCGGAGTAGCTGCGGCCGCCAGCACCTTAGCCTGGGTACCGCGCGCCGCCGCCGCCCACGTGCGCGGTGGTCCAGCAGAGCGCATCTTTCTGCTTGGGGCATTTTTTTGGTTTTCTATCTCTCATCTTTCTTTCCTTTTACGTTTTGCTTATGGGAAAAAGTTGAGTCGAAAGTGTCCAACAATTGCCACGTTCCCGTTATCCTCCTTTCCCGCCCCACTTTTTTTTAAAGCAGTGCCAACGGATTTTTGTTGTTGTTGTTGTTAAAGAGTCTGTTTTGTTTTATGATCGATAGTTTCCCTTGCTTGGTCCTGGCGGTTGCTGATCCGCGGAGTGGCGTGGACCTCATGTAGAAATGACAGCAATGGAAGGGGCCAGCGGGTCGAGTTTTGGAATAGACACGATTTTGTCCGGTGCCGGTTCCGGCAGCCCCGGCATGATGAACGGAGATTTCCGCCCTCTCGGTGAAGCTAGAACCACGGATTTTAGGAGCCAGGCCACCCCGTCACCCTGTTCGGAGATTGATACCGTGGGAACGGCGCCCTCTTCTCCGATCTCGGTCACCTTGGAGCCCCCGGAGCCGCATCTTGTGACAGACGGGCCCCAGCATCACCATCACCTCCACCATGGCCAACAGCCGCCGCCACCGCCAGCCGCGGGCCCCGCACAAAGTTTGCAGCCTTCGCCCCAACAGCAACCGCCTCCGCAGCCACCGTCGGCAGCCCAACAGCTGGGCTCAGCCGCCTCGGCCCCCAGGACTTCCACCTCTTCATTTCTAATTAAGGACATCTTGGGGGACAGCAAACCTCTGGCGGCTTGTGCGCCCTACAGCACCAGCGTCTCTCCTCATCACACGCCGAAGCAGGAGAGCAATGCGGCGCACGAGAGCTTCAGGCCAAAGCTGGAGCAGGAGGACAGCAAAACGAAGCTGGACAAGAGGGAGGACTCCCAGAGCGACATCAAATGCCATGGTGAGTTGCGCCGGGGCTGCCCGGGTGATCAAGGCGCTTGAGCAACAGAGTGGGAGCTGGAGAGGGCCTCGGCGTGCGATTCAGCAAACGCACCCCAAACTCAGTGGCTCACATTTCTCCCCTACGACCTTCACCGACAGCAGCTTCGTTCTTTGTTTTACTTAATTGTAAATGAGGAGGCTGGCCACTGGGAGAGATGGGATACAAGATGCTTTTCTTTGAAAACGGGGATCGACTTGAGATTGTTTTTGTGTGTGTGGTTTGTTTTAGCTGAGACCTTGCGAATGGGATTGGGAGGGGTGGAGAGAAGCTTATAGCTAGCTGGGATTGCCCCCTCTGTAATCATAACTCGACATTTATTCTTGAATGCAAATGCCCCCTCCCCAAATATTTTTCAAATAACAACAGGATTTGTCTGATTTAATGTTGGACAAATTTCCAACGTTATTACGGGAGCAATTTATTTTTTACAAGCCGGTGATTAATACAGGAAAAAAAGCATAGTCCATTAAAAAAAAAACACCCCTTTCGTCAATACCCCCAACAAAATGTCTGCGGCCTAATCAACACTGGCCCTTTGCAATAACGAAATATTTATGAAAATTAAATTGTATGGACTTGAATTTGTTCTTGTAAAATGAAGATGACATGGAAATTATCCTTTAGCACTATTTTCTTCCTGGGCAATTTCATAAGTAACTCTTCTGGGCTTTGCATTGTAAGAGTTTTAACACACCAAGGAGGCTTTTTTTCTCCCTTTACTGAGAAGTTGTTGCTGTTATTATTAATAATTATTATTAATGCTTGATTCTCTGGTCAAGATTGCTGTCTGGAAGGTAGGATATGGGTTCTTCATTTTACTGTTTATAGCATTAGCATAATAGTGCCCCAAACAGATGTACAGTCTGGTCTGGCGATTTTCGTGCACCAACCTCCCCAGTGGGTCAATTAGAGAGATTATTGTTCTTCCTGCCGGGAAGATCAAGGAGTGCTCCACAAACCGGCACAAACAGAGAGGGATTGACATATCGATTTCCCAACATTTCAGCAAAAAACCAAAGTTGACAAATAGAATCCGGAAATTTCTGCACTGTCACCTGGACGGACTGACTCAAGTGGTTTTTTGTTTTGTTTTGTTTTGTTGTTTTGTTTTTTTGAGCTCAGCTCAGTGTCTGGGTGATACATTGTCTCTGAAGCTTGAAAAAGATCTGGTACAGAGGAAGCTGAAGGTAGCCTGAGTAGAACCTTTTCCAAGTGCATCTGAAAAAGGAGAAACAAAGGCTTCTAACTTCCAGTGAGAAGGGAAAAAAAATTAAAAGTAACACGATGTTTGGGTGTCATAAAAACGAAGTAGAAAGACTTTTGGGGGTACCAAATAAAGAATTTCCCTTTGAAAACAATAAATAAATAAGTAAGTAAGTAAGCAAGTAAATAAATAAATAAATAAAGAGAGGCCACATTGTCTCCTCTCAAATCAAAGAAAAAGAGTTAGCAGGGGATCAGACACCGCTAGAACTCTCACAGGCCTCTACACTAAGGCCCAGTGAGGGGTGTGTGTGTGCTGAGTGTGACCTGGTGTGGGAATGTGTGTGCCAGGTGGACAGTCCTCTCCTCTCCTGCCCTTCAGGCTGACTAACAGAGTTGTACCACTGTTTCTACCCCAGGAACAAAGGAAGAAGGAGATCGGGAGATTACAAGTAGCCGAGAGAGTCCCCCTGTGAGAGCCAAGAAACCCCGAAAAGCCAGGACAGCTTTCTCGGACCACCAGCTCAATCAGCTGGAGCGCAGCTTCGAGAGGCAGAAGTACCTGAGTGTCCAGGACCGCATGGACTTGGCAGCGGCACTCAACCTCACTGATACTCAAGTCAAGACTTGGTACCAGAACCGCAGGTGAGGACAGTTGTCCGCCCTCCTGCCCTCTGGAGACCAGGGACGGAGAATCACAGGGGCTAAAGCGGGTGCTTTCAGGCAGGGCTTAGCCATACCTCTAAATGAGAGAGACCTAATTGTCCTAAAAAGTGGTTCTTTCCCGTGTGAAACTTGAGCTACCAGAATTTCCCCCTTGTTGTCCTCAGATCAACCAAGCCGCACCTTCTCAAATTGAAACATCTGTGCAGCTGACAGGATGAGCCTGTGTACTCAGGGTACACTTAGACCTGCCACAGGCTGGCTCCAAATGTCTGCAGCGGGCAACACGACCTAGCTAATGGAAGTCCCCACAGAGCTGTCCCACCAGCCTTGGCTTAAATGTGAGGCAGTTGGGAAAGCCAAGGTCCAAACCTTGGTTGACACAGCCTGGAAGATTAGGGACGCCCATCTGGGTTAGTGTTGGACTGGAGGCCACAGACTGAAGAATCAGGCAGCTGGTTGAGCATCCAGTCTGGAGTGTGTGTGTGTGGGGGGGAGGGGCGGGATGTGTGTCCCCTCCCAGCACAGGATGCTTTTTCTGCAGTCCTGTAAGGGAAAAGGGTGGGGGAAAGGAGCCAGATCTTATCCCATACCACGGATTCTCTAAAAAAGACGCCAAGAAAGTGACTGGCCTCACCGTGGAAGCTAAGGACAAACTTGGGCAATAGGAATTCAGGCTATGTCCTGTTTCAACACCTGGCATTCGGCTCCCTCATCTCCATTTTCTGCCCCCTCTGTCGTTCGTGTTCTAATCGTTCATAAGTGGGGTTGGAAATGCCCAATCCGTTGTCATCTTACCATAATTTTCTGTCTCATTACATACGGTTTCAGCCACCCTAATTCTGTCGGAAAACATTAGTGTCATTTGTAGCCAATTTAAAACCGGCGACATGTTTATTAATTTGGCAGGAGCTGCTGGGTATGGGTGCCCCACCAGGCTTCCCTTCCTTCCTAGGGCATTTGAGTAGATGTCCTCTCTTCCTAGCTTGGTGCACTGGGGGAGGGAGGAGACCCAAAAAATGGATAACAGGCTTTAAGTACTATTTTCTCTTTGAGGAGGAAACTTCTTGAAATGCATTTCCTCCCACCTAAGAATGGTCAGGGGTACCGTTCCCTTGGGAGAGCTCGCTCTCACACGAATTCCATTTTTAAACCTAGTCGCCCTTCTGTGCTAAGCTTGTGAAGCCTGGTAGGGCTGAAGGAAGAGTTGTCTCCACAGCCTTGAAGGGGACAAACCCTGAGGCTCAGGCGCCCTTTGTTTCTGGTTTTGGTTTCCTAGGGTGCAATGGGATGGGGGATGGGCCGAGAGCCAGCATTTTAGGTCGCCGGTCAGAGCGCGTCTAGGAGAATGGGGGTGGGGGAAGGCAAAGGAAGACAGCTGGTGTAAAGATGGGGTCTGATTTGGCCTCCGGGAAAGTTGCAGGACCTAGTTTAACCGTGGGGCGGATAGTATAGCAGAGGGCCAGGGAAGGAAACTCGTAGGATTCCATTGGCGAGTGTCTCCAGGTAGAAGTCGCGGTTTGAAGAACCGATTTTGGTTTGGGGCCATCCTGAGAGTGAGTCGGGGAGGCTGAGGCAGGAGTGTGCACCTTGACTTCCCCAGCCTTCCAGGAGCTGGGAGGGCAGGAGACGGCGGGGAGCGATGGGCTCGGTGCCTGACTATCCTCCGCAGCCGCCGCCCGCCCGCTCCCTCACTCGCTTTCTTTCAGAACCAAGTGGAAGCGACAGACCGCAGTGGGCCTGGAGCTGCTGGCAGAGGCTGGGAACTACTCCGCTCTACAGAGGATGTTCCCGTCGCCTTATTTCTACCACCCAAGCCTGCTGGGCAGCATGGACAGCACCACAGCGGCGGCGGCGGCCGCGGCCATGTACAGCAGCATGTACCGGACTCCTCCGGCACCCCACCCGCAGCTGCAGCGGCCGCTGGTGCCCCGCGTCCTCATCCACGGCCTGGGGCCTGGGGGACAGCCGGCCCTCAACCCTTTGTCCAACCCCATCCCAGGCACCCCGCATCCCCGGTGAGGAAGGAGGGACCGTGCCGAAGCCCTCCAATTCCCATTCCGCCCCGGACAGCTGCCCCGCCTCTCCCCGCACCAGGCCAACAGGAATAGAGGCTGAGGAGTCAAAGGGGAGCTCACCGGTGGGCTGGGGTCCCCAAGGACCAGCCAGCTCTCTGCTCTCCATCTGCCCCCTCAGAGGCAGGGATGCAAAGCTCCCAACAGTGTGAATGGCCCCACTGAAAGGCTACCAGTAAGTGAAAAACATCCACAAAAGCAAACCCTCGACTTCTTTTTTAACAGAATGACTTTAGGGACCCGCGGAAGGGAGGGAGGGGGGAGGGCTAAGAAGGGATGAGAGAAGGGCGTGGAGAGGGGCTCTCTGGCAGAGAGAATTGTTGCTGGACACAGCCTGAAGTTCACCCTCGGGCAGAAGGTGATTTCCTGGACATCCAATCTGCCTCAGAGCAGAGGAGGGGGATGGAGAACTTTGCACTGATTTCTCATGAGATTTTTTTTTCTTTTGAAAAAAGTGGCATGCTACATAATATGAAAAAATGTACATTTGAAAGACTGAGTGATAAGTGATATATCATATTTATTATATGTTGTCCAAAACAGAGTCACTTATATACGTCAGTAAAAAACATGATTTTTCTTTTCATGTCTTTTTGATTCAGTAAAATAAATGCTTAGACAAAAGTATAGATTTTTCTGTGATTGAAAATTACAAAAATAAAGTTTATCTTTTTTTAACAAGCAATGAAATCCCAGGGAGCTGATTTTACTTAAAATAGCACGCACCGATGATGAAACGCGCGACTTGGGCGCAGAAAAGCATCCCTCCACAAAATCTGTCGACTTTGGGCTGTCTTGTTGACAGACCCTCCTTTTCGGGTGCCTGCCTTTTCTGAGCTGCAGAGACTATGTGTAGTGCCTGTCTTTTTATGCGATGGTTTAAAGAATGAATACTTGTTTGTGGACTGTTAGTGCTAGCAAAATAGGCAACCGACTTTCCCTGCTGTTCCCGTCTGGATGTGAAGGCTTTGCGGTGTGTGGTGATTCTTCTGTCTGCCCCTCCCCTTCTAGCGCTCTCTTCCTAGGGTTGTGAGAGTCCGGAGCACTGGCCAGCGAAGACAGCAGGAGCCGGGCGGCAGGCGGACACCAGGCCGGCCTTGCAGCTGTTCAGCCGCCCGGGGCTGGGCACTCGCACAGCCGGACAGCCTGCTAGCGAGAGGCTGCAGGCCGAGCAATTAGGACGCCCCGGGGGACGCTGAGTGCCCCGCTAGCAAACCCTTGTCGCTGCTTTGATCCTTGCCTTCTTAGTCCCCAACGGCGACCTTCCAGCCCCGCAGCCCCTCACCTAGTCGCTCGCCTTAATGAGTTCACTGTGCTTGTGTCTGCGGAGCGGGAATACAGCGTCAAACTCTAGTTGAGACAAGCTTGCCAAGTCTTGTTATCTGTGCTTTCTGGAAGGGCTGGCACCCAAAAGGAAAGATCTTGCCCAGCGTGAAGAGTGTAGAGGAGGGCCTTTCGGGACTTCTCAGTGTGTGTGTGTGTGTGTGTGTGTGTGTGTGTGTGTGTGTGTGTGTGTGTGTCAGCACCAGGGCCAGACCTTGATTTTAGACTGCAGGTGGCCAGGGCTGACTCTTTACCAAGCCCAGCAGTAAGGATTGCACCAAGGAAAACTGTAGGGACGAGGGGCAGACTAGACACAGTTACCTAGCTGTTCAGGTTCCTGTTTGGCGTCAGGTCACTTCCTCAGCAGCAGGGAGAACTGGTTCTACCAGCTCCCCCTTTCCTCTAGCCTCGGTTCTGTCCTGGGGCTCTGACAAAGAGACCAGAGACGGCTCGTTCACTTTCAGACCAGCTGGCTTTGCTTGATGCCTTAAGCTTTGCTTTTAAAAAAATGTTTTAAAAAAATGTAGCGATGTGGGGTATAAACTGCAGAGGGGTTGGGAGGAGAAAGGAAGGCAGGAGGTGAGAGCAGGGAGGAAATTGACCCGGCACCTTGATCAGACCGAGCTGATTAGGGAGTGGCTTGCAGATCTCCCTCCAGCTCCTCAACCGAATCAAAATGGTCGAGGTCTTTTTATGATTCTAACAGGAGTCTGGGCTGGCCCTTCTAATTTTTTGCCCGCTGAGCGGGGACAAACTCAGACAGCTGGGCTTGGCGGGAAAGAGGACATCACTTTGTCCAGCGGAGAGGCCCAGTGCCTGGGCCCTCAGCAGACTCTCCTGTCCCGTCTTAGCTTTGGTTGAATTTTTAAAAAAAATCAAGCTTCAGTAGTTTAGGAGGGTTTGCCGAGGCCTACAAATTCTAAGGCGTGAAGATGCTGAATAGTGTCTGTTCACGCTGGACCTGGGTTTGGTGAGTTCGGGGCCCAAGAAGTGGACCTAGGAAAGCACAGGTTTCACGGGTGGAAAGAATCCACATAAAAGATTATCCAAGACCATATGCACAAATCTATACACCCAGGCAAGGCTTTGGCACCCATTGGCACCTGCTGGTTGCCAGGTCAGTCTGAACTTGGACTCTGTGGGTGGTCAGGGCAGGGCAGCCCTTTCTACTCTGTCAGTAATGGCTTTGCATACATCAAAACCCCTGCAAGTCCACCTTTCTTCAGAACCATGCTTTCTTCCCTGCATTTGCTTTGGTTTTGACTCCTTGCTGCTCTGTGATCATTAGATTGGGGTGCTGCAAGAGGAATGGACCCGGGGAGAAAGCTGGGTCCCCGAGTTCTTTCCTCTCCTTCAGTATTGCTGCAGAGGAGACCTGTCACCATGCTACTGCTTAGAAGTCAAGTGTAAAAACTGGTTCATTCCTTTACAAGGGGTCTCTTTTTCCCTGGTGTGGGGTGGGGTAATGGCTGATGGGTGAGAAGCAAGGAGGAAGCTAATGTGTCTTCTTCACAGGTAACTTAGCTGGAGAAGTGGCTGCCACTGGCTGCACCCCTATGTTTCCCCACTTGCCCTCCCGCTGTCTTCTCTCTGGACTGATTCAGGGAAGTCTAGACAAATAGAAACTCCTGGTGACATTCTTTGCTTCCCATAGGCACACAAGAAAATGAACTTGTATCAGAGGGCTGCTCAAAGCTCCACAGAGGTTCATATCCCCAAGGTTTGCTGGCCTTGAGACCAGCGAGCAAACAGTACAGATCTACAGATCGGAAATCTACTTCTCCCTACTTGTTGGAGAAGCGAAAGTTTCTGGCCAGCAGCCAGTTCTTGCAGCCCAACTAAGCCATTTTCAATAAATTGCAAAGTAACACTTGCTGCTTGGCTCCAGCCCCAGCAAATAGATTTACCTCCCTGTATCAATTTATTCCCCCCCCCCAAGGAAAGCCCACACAGAGGCAAATTAGCCAATTTCCTGTGTTGCTGCAAAAACAGTTTTCCCTTAAATAAAGTCTCCCCCCTCCTCCCACCCACAATCTGCCTCCTACCTAGGCAGCCCTTCAGGATCCTTTGCTCAACTCCTACCCCTTGAACAAGGCAGCGTGGGAGTAGTTTGTTTTGTTATATTTTTAACTTTCTAAAAATATTGGGAAAAGCCCTTCCCAGGGCTAAGGAAACTTTAGTGCTTGTTAAACCACGAGTACACTGGAAGAGCTCTGCTGGATTTTTGAAACAGTCAGGCAGGGCTTGAAGTCAACATGCTTGGAAAACAAGTCCTGGCTTCTCACAGCCCCGAGGCTGGCCAGCAGCAGATCCACAGCTTTTCCTCTGCAGCATGGAATCCTTGTTGAGGGAAAGCAGGCCTGCCCTGTGTCCTGCTTACTGACCACAGAGAGATGTGGGCATGGGCGAGTGGGGCCTTCTCTAGGGCTGACCTGGTGGACTCTGGACCAACTTCTTCAGGCATCTCCGTTCTCTGGCTTAGTCTTTGTCCAGTCCTACTTTCTTGAGGGAAATCCAGTCCTCTCTATTACCCGAGTCTTGTCTTGTCTTTTCCTTCTTTCCTTCCTTCCTTCCTTTCTTTTCTTTTTCTTCTTTTGTGAGTTGGTGCCCAGTGCCCAGTACCTGTCCACGTCGCCTCTAAAACTACATGCTCCCGGCTGGATGAAAGTAAGTGTTTGGGCTAGGTGATGGTGAGTGGGTGGGGCAAGGGAGGTGTCACTAGCCTTTTGCATAGGAAAATCACTCCCATAATCTTGGGGAGGTGGGAAAGCTCAGAGGAGCCCTTTGCCTCACTTCCTTCTAGCTGAAACGTGAAGGCCTCTGTCATTTTGAGTTTTTCTGTTTCCTCCTCTTCTCGTCTGTGACTCTTTATGGCGGTCTCCCAGCTTCTCCCTCCTAGCACCACAGACAGCTCCCGGGTCGCACTTGGAGTCTGAAGCAGACGCTGGCGGTTCCAGGCCGAACCCAGGCTATCGCGGAGGTGGGGGGGGGGGGGGAGCGTGCCGCTCGCGGGGGAGGTCCCGAGGTGATTACAAAGCGCCCTCCCCGGCAGAGTTTCCTGATTAACCCTAAGCCCAAACAGGGTCACATTCCAAAGAACACAATCTTCAGATCAATAAAGTGATTCAAAACCCCGAAGATTTGGGGGTAAGTAGCGCTCTGCGACAGAGCGACTCTTAACCAGGCCCGCTACCTCCACTTAAATAGTTCTCAATGGAAGGCGGCCTGGGAAGAGCCGGGCCCGTTGTCTGCAGATCCGAAGCCTCGGCGGCCCCTCCTGCTTCGGTCGCGCGCTCGCGTGGCCTCGATGGCTGCAAGTCAAGGACAGCGCTCCGGAGGAGGCTGCTCTGCAGGACGCGCCGCGCGGGTCGGAGATCTGCAGCGCTTTTCCCTCCCCGCGTGGCTCACCACTCGTCGCGGCCCCGCGAACTCGGGTGGGAGGCCCTGAGAGCAAACCGCGTGGCTAGAGCGAGGTTGAACTTGTTTTACAAAAACAAGTTTGTGGCCCTCGGTGCTGCCTGTGGGAGGGTATGGCCTAGTGGCACGCCCCGGACGGCGGGCCAAGCAGGACGCAGCAGGTTCTGGCGCCTCGAAGCTCCTGCTGCTGGCACCCGACACCCGGGCTCTGTGCTAGCCTGGTCTCCGGGCCGTCTGGCGGGCTGTAAGTTCCCGTCTTGGTGACAGAGGTGACAGATGAGTTTCAGGATGGCAGATCTAGGAAGGGCACCAATAGATAGACCTGGGTCAAAATTCCGGACATTTTTCAGGAGCACTCGTCGGGATAGCCTACCCTAGGGCAGTGTTCTGCCCCCTTTGTGCGTTGAGGAGGGAATGAAAAGCCGTCTCCATCTCCTGTGAAGATAACAAACATAAAAGAAGTTTGTGGCTCTCTGCTTCCAGACCCGCCGCCTGCTTCCCTCTTCCTAAGGACTCAGAATGGCTTGAAGATTAAAATTTTTCTTCGGTTTTTGGAATGTTAATGGGAATTAGGCACCAACTGTGTTTTTAGGAGTGTGAATTATCCACTTTTGTGGGTGCAGGCATCTTGAAGGCTTTCACCAGAGCCCACGAGGCCTGGAGGAGAAGGTGCACAGAGGCCTCCGTTAGGCAGTGTCTATAGGAAAGGGATGGCCATGTTTTCTGTAGAGAAATGGGAAGTTATAACACACTGGTGTTGCACCCCTAAGCCACAAAACTGGAGTGCCCTGGTGGAAGGCAGACTGCTTTAAACAGTGCCTGAGTGCTAGGAACCGGCCTGGAAGGCTGTGCTTCCCACAATACCACCGGGCAGCCAAGCTGTGTGGGACAGTTTCCAAATACAGCAGGTCTCTTACAGCCAGGTTTCCT